TAAGCCCATTAATGTTATATTGGCCCAATTCCAAGAAGATCGTTAAAAAAGAATACTAGTTAATTTATATCGGATGATCTTGAATTAATTGATCTGTATATAGTAACAACTAATGTGTGTATGTGCTTAAAACAACCCAATGTGTTACACCAGGTGTAGCGTCTCATGGACCGAAAAAATTTGAGAACAGTGTAATTAATGCGTGACATAATTCTAATTTAACAATTTTTTTATAATAAATATCTAAAATGACAAATATTTTGACACGGAGGAGTATCAAAGTTGTTTATAAAAATCTCAACTAGCTATTGCTTTTTCGGTTATTTAAAAAAAAATCAAATAATTCAAATACATATGTAATCATGAGCATCATCATTGGTAATCATGCTATTTCAGCACAAAAGGGCTTTGTTAATATATATCTCCATCACTAGATGTAGTCAACCAAGAATCTCATAAAAGAATATTGGTACAAATTTAAATTTCAATTTGATTTAGGTTATTTAACAAAAAAAACTTTAATATATAAATTAGTAACAACTAAATTTGAATCAACTAGTATCTCACTCGTGCCATGCAATGAAATCAAATTCAAGAATACAATACGATCGTCGGACCAAATTTTAAATTATAATATAAAGGTAATATAATTTAAAATATTGAAAAAAAAAGAATCTCGAACCAACTTTACTCATCGATCGTCGGAAATAAATAATTAACATCATACGTTCGAGAAGTATTCCACACCAAAATGCTATATGTAACTAAATACAATGGAATCGAATCCCGACGAAATCTTGCACATCCACATATTTATCGGAATAGTAGACCAAGTCATTACAATAAAATCAAGGTAATTGACACTTTGCACCCTTCAATTCTGCATATTTGATGCTTTGCACCCTTAAGTTAAAAATATGGCAGATTGCACCCTCAAATTAATTTACTTGGCATATTGCACCATAAAACCTAAAAGTAATAGAATATAAGGATTTTGGGGGACTCAAAGGGTAAATTTATGAATAAATTCACTACCAACCTTTTTAATTGCAGAAAATATTTATATTCTTCCTTGTTCGTGGATGTAATTAACATTAATTGACCACTTTGCCCATTGGATTATGGTAAAATCAATTCTTTCGGACACAAATTTTTGGAGAAAAGTGTATTGGGGTGCAACGTGCCAAATAAATCTTAATTTAAGGATGCCATCTGCCATATTTTTTTATGTAAGGATGCAAAGTGCCAAATGAGCAAAATTAGAGGGTGCAAAATACCTAATACCCGTAAAATCATTACACCTAAATTTGAATCAATCTTCTAATTATATCATTATCTACGTGTCTAAAAAAAACTAAATGTGATTATCTTTTAAAATGGTTTCTTGATTATTCCAGCCAGAAGTGAGATACACTCTTGCGGCGGAGTTGAATATATACTGATACACTTTTTCCGGCGAAAGCTGAATTCCTCCTATTTTAAACAAATCAATAATATATAATATTAAAAATTAAGATTACATAAGTTTTCATTTAGAGCATATTATTTTGGAAAAAAATAATTTAATATTGCATCGACATCTAGCTGCTTCCAAGGATCCAGTCTTTTTAATCATAATTATTAAGTACTAACTTTTGTGCCCAATAATTTAATTTGAGGTGTATTTAATATAAAAAGAACAGAAAAAATAGATAGGAATATTATCATCTATAATGACCAAATCTTTTTTTTTTTTTTTTAACCCTTCAGACCCGTTAACATAAAAAGAAAAATGTAATATTTTTAACTTCCATAATATTCTGTTTGTATTTAACAAGAGAATCTCAAAATTAAAATGCAATATTTTAAGATACACCTACAAGTGATATAAAGTGAATAATAAAATTATATAATAAAATATAAATAAAGTTCAAAAGACATAACGGCTAGGGACAGTTGACAAGTGTTATACATTGCTTACAAAAAATGAGAATAAAAAAAAATGAATTGGTGAAAAATGTCAAATAAGAATAGACAGAATGAAAATTGAAACTTTGATAAATGAAATCCTAAATGTAAATTATATATATAGATTAATTATTAAATATAATATATTTATATGAGTCGGTTCTTATGACCCGACCCAGAACCATCTGATTTAAAAATTTAAATCCATTATCCGGCCCAACAACATTCAACCTATCCAAACCCGCACAAAACGGGTTGATTCTGGGTCTAACACCCGCCAAACTCATATATACCCATTGCTATCCCTAATGTCAACTCGATCACACTACAAATTTAGTGTGTAATGTAAAAAGAAAATGTGGGCCATCACAGGCTTATAATCAAATAAAATAAAAATAATGTTTTGTTGTTCTTATTACAAAAAGATCCATATTTTTTTATGTGATGTAGAATAAATTTCCATAAAATGATAAATAAATTAAAAAAAAAAAGTAAAAATAAATAAAAGCATGCTCTGCAAATAATAGGTAATCAATGTAGCTAGTGGGGTGCATACATGTGTGCACATGTTAAAATATGCACGTATGTCCTGCTTTAAGCTGCTATACTACATCTTTTTTCAAGCTACAAATTTAAAGATTTTATTGGCCTTTCTCTCTCTCCACATACCAAAAAAATAAAAATAAATGCAAAAATGATTTTTTCTTTTATTAAACATTAGACATCGTTTGATTTGATTGTCAAAATAAGATCAGTTAGTTATTATAAGATTAAATAATTTAATGAAATGCAATTATATTATTATATTGAACATTCGATTATCCAATAAAAACATGCTTATAAGGCAAGATATATATATAAACCATGATAACATAATATTTGAGAATCGATCCGGCAAATTATGAGAATACCAGACATCAAACAACGTCCTATTATAAAATCATGGCTAATATCCCCAAGCAAACGACATCTAGAAATACAATTTGTCATCCTATGAGGGGCACTTTGCATATTTACTATATTATCCTGCCAAATTTTTTAATTGAAACATAAAGTTTAATTACATTCCTAGTTCACATAATTTATCCTAAAAGGTTAGATATGCTCGATTCGATAAAATATATGTCTTCGGCCTCCAAAAATATCGTTGGTTAACTTAGGCGTCTCGTTTGGTGGGAAAAATTTATCATGATTAACTGAATAATTGGACTATGTTTTGATATTTGGTAAACTCAATAACTATCTGGGTTAACCAGCGAAAATGTGATGGCAAGTTTGGTTTTCGTTTCACTTTTACTCTTTTCCCGAAACAAATTTGTTGTTACTATATCCAAACATGAAATGATTATGACTTTACCTTACGGGTAGCGGTAATTTGCCTTTAAGTTTATAGGGCAAATTACGGCCACCCCTGAGTGATGGTCAAATTACGAAACCCTGTCCTGTTTGGGTAATTACAGTTACCCATCAACTATGTATTATCTTACGAAAATACTTCTCAGAGGTAAACTTAGGGATGTTAAATTGATAAAACTAAACCGAAATTTGGGTACGCCAATATTTCATACTGTTTACGAAACTGAATATACGATTTGGTTTGATAAATAACCGAATTACATAAATTTTACCCAAAATATTTTTTTTCATAATTTGACAATACTAATTTGCAGTTTAATTTAAATATGCACGATACAACAAACAGTCCGACAGACATGAATCTAAGACTGATTCTCACTTCTCAAGAAAAAAAAAAAAAAAGAGATAAATTTGTTGATATCGAGAAGACGATGATGAATTATAGAGACAAGATGGAACGAGACACAGAAAGAAATACAAAAGACAGAAAGAAAATAATAAATTCTGAAAAAACGTATATATATATATATAACGATCTGCCATTAATTGACAATTATTTTAGGGATTAAACAGAAGTGACAGAAAGCTTCTTTTGCTATCAAGAAAAGCAGCTTTTACACTGCTTCACTGCCACCTACAGCAAAAACTCCTATGCCCAGTATTAAAATCCATGTGCATGCCCACTTATTTCACCTTCCAAATTGAGAACAAATATATATATATATATATATATATATATATATATATATATATATATATATATATATATATATATATATATATATATATATATATATATATATATATATATATATATATATATATATTTGGGCAAAGTACAGTTTACACCCCTGAAATATAAGGGTTGAACCAGTTTGCCCCCCTGAACTACAAAACGTCTCAAATACCCCCCTCGAGTTTATGGTCAACCATTAAATTATTAACACTTTTAATTTAAATGTTCAATTACTTTTCTGCCCTTGGAGGTTTGTTGTAAGAAACTTAATAATTATATAATTAATACGTGTTGTATTTGTCGATTTTGTTATGAATTTGTGACAAAGTAAATTTATGGTTTGCATGATTTTCTTAATTGTGTTTAATTTTTGGATTCAATATGTTTGCTAATTGTCCATTTGTTCAATTTTGTGCATTTTTTGTTTATGCCCTTAATTAAATGCATAACTATTGGGGTGATTTTCGTGCATTAAAAGATTTCTTGTACCACGAAGTACAAAAATTTTGTGTATTTGAGTTGTTACTCGACATTTTAATAAATTTTAGAAGAAAAAAATAGTGGCCTTTTAGTGGTTAAATAATGAGAAGAAAAACGGAAATACGAGAAAATAAACCCGAAAATATGGAACAAAAAATCTTGACAAAATAAAAAAAAAATCAGTGAAAAAACTTATATATATATATATATATATATATATATAATTGAATAGAAGGGCAAAGTAGTCACAAAATGTCAAAAGGTATAAAAAATATCTAGAAATCATAAAGTCAAAGTGCCACGTCAGCATCTACAAACAAAATTTAAATAGAGTAAAAAGCAGTTTACCCCCTAAACTATGGCCCGTTTTGCACTTTGCCCCCTAAACAAAAAAAAATTGCACGTTCTTACCTGAACTCGTTAATTCATTGCATGGTGCCTCCTAAAAGGAATATTCCGACAATTTTGACCGGAATATTACAACACGTGTGTTGCACATGAGATTTTCAGGGGCAAATTTGTCCATTCACTAACATTCTATATTTTAATCATTAAAAAATAAACATAAAAAAAAAAAAGAAAAAGAAAAGAAAAAGAAAGAAAAAAGGAGTTGTCATCCCGTCGACCACCACCCTCACAAAGCCAACCCATCCCTAAACAGCCCCAAATAGAGATCGCACAAATCCCTAATGGCGGAAAGGGGCTGCTTGTCCCACTGAATATTCGGGAACCAGCTCAGCATGCAACTCACCGTCAGTATCCCGCTGTACAGGTCCAGCCACTTCGCCATCCCGCCGCCACCACCGTCAGCGGCGTGTTCAGCGACCTCAGCTCGCTTCTCCTCACCGCCGCGAAGAACGCCGGCCCCGCTGATTTCACCACCGGCTCCTTCACCTTCACGGCCAGCGTGAACAGCCCCCCGCAGTGGGGGGCGATGACTTTCGACGCGGCTAGGGCTACGGCGCCGATTGTCGCGAATGTCCGGGTCGAACCGGATAGCGTGTCTCGAACCGGGTACGGGTTCGATTCTGGGGGATTGACGGAGCAAGCGGTGATTGATTTTGAGGGTTTTGAGAGGGATATGCGGCGGTGAGAATACGGCAAGGCTGGGAGACGGTAGGAATTGGGCGAGAAGGCGGCGATGCGGCGGTCGGAGAGGGGGTTGCGGAGGATGGCGATTCTCATCAATTTTTCTTCTTTCTCCTCTTGGTGGTAGTGGTTATCTTGATCCTCTTCTTCCAATTTAGCATTCATCTTCTCTTCGATTTTCCCCCCTCAAGAAAACTGCTTTTTGCTCAAATATCTATATGGTTTTATAGCAATTAACATTTGCATCTGCTAACTCGCTTAATATGTGCTGCGATATATGGTAAAATATCTATATGGTTTTCTTGAGATAGTCCATTTCTCCGCCATTGATGTCCATTGTTGCCTCTGTGTTTTCGGAGAGTTATTCGAGTTTCGGGAGTGGGATTTTGACGAAATTAATGGAGGAAGCGAAAATTGGAGGCAGTTTGGGGAGGCGGTCGATGTTTCTTGGGGTTGAAATGAAGGAGATTTGTGGCCCTTTAGAGCAATGAGTTTGGAGAGTTCGATGTATGGGTGCAGGCTGTGCTTCTGTTCTTTGGCGGCCGCCATTGACGGGTTTGGAAGAAAAGCTTGAAGAACAGCTTCTTTTTCCTTTATTTATTTATTCTTTTTCTTTTTTTTTTTAATATTTATTTGTATTTAATATTAAAGATGCAAGTGAAGGGACGAATTTACCCCTAAAAGTCTCACGTGCAAAGCACATGTTTTCATATTCCGGTTAAAATTGCCGGAAAATTGAGTTTAGGGGGCACCGTGCAACGAATTAACGAGTTCAGGTAAAAACGTGCAAATTTTTTTTGTTTGGGGGGTAAAGTGCAAAACGGGCCATAGTTTAGGGGGTAAACTGCTTTTTACTCATTTAAATACATGGGGGTATTTGGAACGTTTTATAGTTCAAGGGGGCAAACTGGTACAACCCTTATAGTTCAGGGGTGTAAACTGTACTTTGCCCTATATATTTCGACAAGTACATCAAAACTAAATTATTTGCTTTCATACTTGCATGTCATATCTCTCTCTCTCTCTCACACACACATACACACAGTGGCGGATCTAGACAACATTTTAAGGGGGGGCGAATTTTATAGGAAAAAATAATTTTGGGGATTTCTGGGGCAGCGCCCCAAATTTTTTTTCGGGTTATTCACAAAATATTGCTAGAATAAGTATATATTTATAATTTTGAAGTAAAAATATATATTTTAGTAGTTGTATTTTATATTGTAATAACAAATGGAGAAAGAATATCTAAAATTACATAAAAGAATAGAGAAGAAAATAAAAATAGGAGGGGCAAAAACATATATTTGTATAATAGTATGTTAAAAAGTAATAAAAAAAAAGTTGGAATTTTTTTTTTCTGGGGGGCGGCTGCCCCCCCTACCCCTTGGTAAATCCGCCACTGCATACACACACAAACATACACACAAAAAAAACATGCATTTGAAAGTTTTCATATTAATTTGGGCAAATTACTGTCACTTTTGAGGTATGTTTAAATTACGAAACTCGACTCATGTTTGGGTAATTACAAAAGTCACCCCATCATTTTAAATATTTTTACATAAAATTTATGAAATTCGGTTATTTACCGAACTAAATCGTATATTCAGTTTGATAAATTGTATGAAATGTTGGCGTACCCAAATTTCGGTTCGGTTTTTACCGATTTAATTAACATCCCTAAATTTACCTCTAGATGGGGTTTTTCGTAAGATAATACATAGTTGAGGTGGTGACTGTAATTACCCAAACAAGAGGGGGTTTTCTTAATTTGATACGTGGGGCGTATGAGATCCTACACCTGATGAAAACCGAAACCGAAACCATAAATCTACATAAATAACTACATACTAAGAACATATACCTGATGAAAACCGAAACCGAAACCATAAATCTACATAAATAACTACATACTAAGAACATATACGCATGAATGTGTGTGTTATTATGTGTAGAACAATACTGTAAAACTACATGGTGTAATTTCACCGGGTGTATGTTCTACAAAACGCATAAAATACTCATAATTTTTTTATACCAAATTGTGCACATGGGCATGTGTTATACTTTTTTTCACATTGGATTGAAACCCTAACCCTAGTACATTTGGGATTAAACTACTTAATTCAATTTCAGATCAGTCCCTTCTATTTGTAATTGTGATAAAATATTACATAAATATAATTACTTATTTTGCTTTTCTTTGTTTGGGGGGATGGAGGGCAAAAGGGGAATATATGTTGGTTTATACTAATATTTGAAAGTAATATATAATAAATCTAGAAAGTAATATATACAATGGCCGGGCCGGGCCGGGCCGGCCACAACCTTTTGATCGGATCCAATGCAAGAAAGACCTGTTCCTCATCACTGTTTCAGATGTCCCTAACAAATCTGAGACAAATTTTGATAAGATTCACACTTCATCTTTAGGTACAAAGATTCAGTTATTTTATTTATTTTATATATGAATGGATAATGAATATTCATCTTACAAATAGTTACAATATGTACATAAATTTTCGCTTTATATTTTATTTTGAAGCACTGCATTTAAATATTTGAAATAGGTGGCGGTGAAATTCGATCACTCATAACAAAAACTTTCATTTGGGTTGACACTGATACCTTACTGAACGACCGCCTCAACCAAAAGTTTAAGAGAAATATATCATTTAATATCAATATCTCCAATATTTACATGACGAAGTTTCGTGTAACTAATTTTGAAACCAAACAAACATTACCCTGGTTTGTCTTCTAGAAAAACTTGCGTCGCAAAGACAACAAGTTGATCTCAGTGGCGGAGCCAGTTTGGATGCGTGTGTTGTAAGGCCAATTATTATTATTTATTTTTATTAAGAGTTTTTTTCATTTAAATATATATCAAGAGGGGTACTATAGAGAGGTTTAACTTTGACCTTGTGGTTGACATTAATTATAATACGTGTCTTGTGGCTATCAAGAAAACCTCCATTCAAACAAGAGTACACTGTGTTCTTCATTATTCCAAAACTTATCAGACAACAATAGACAAAAAATTTCTGCAGAGAAATTAATCAAGAATACCATTAATATCCACTCTTTATTTAATTTTCCTTTTTCTTCTTATTTAAGTGCACTTTTGCTGCAGACTTTTGTTTTCAGATTATTTAAATGGACCCTTTTCAACCCAAAGGCTATCTATATACATATATCAAACTCTTCACCTGCTTTCAACTTTTGCACATCACAAATAAACAAGTGATGGTCCTCAACAACAATTAAGAATATATACATGTAGCTTAATACATATATATATATATATATATATATATATATATATATATATATATATATATATATATATATATATATATATAGACTCAGGGCTATGGAGAATCTTCTCCTTACAATTAATCTTTGTAACTTCACACACACAATCACTACTTTTTTCTTTATATTCTCTCAATCATCAACAATCCCAAAGAATAATCAAAGCCTCTTCACATGATAGCCAATCATCCACCTCAAGAATTTGATCAACTTCTCAATATTTTACACCAAAGAGGTCAAATACCCCGGATCTCTTACCGGCAGTTCGAAAAACGCAAACCCTAATCTTATAGTACATCCAGTGCACTTCTACCACAGAGTAATTTGTATTTTACACCAAAGAGCTGGTTAAATACGCCGGATCTCATTAAACTGACAGTTTTGAAAAATGCAAACCCTAATCTTACAGTGCATTCAGTACACTTCTACCACAGAGTAATTTGTGACTTGCCATAGGGTACAATTGCCAAAAACCAACCAATATAATAAATATTATTCTCTAGTTTAATTCATGCATGTGAGGCTAGCTAGTTATCTAGAAGCCAATGCTTTATAAAATAGTTAAAAATGCACACCATATGAGAGGTATTTAAAAGGGAAAAAAACAAAAAAAAAAAACAAACAAACCCTAGACATATATATATAGGTGATGATCATGAGCCCAATTCTCAAGAATTTAATCACTAATTCTCATATATTTCCATCCACCCCTCCTCCATTCCATGTGGGAAAATGATAATTGTATGGGAATGTGAAGCTAGAAGGTGTTTGATTATAAAACCCACCTCCCCCGCCGCCGCCTCTGCCGTAATCCACGGCCGACCGGTGGCGTGGCGGAGGCGGAGGCGCCTGAGTGGCGGCGGCGGCGTAGCGGATGAGGTCGGCGTTGGCAGCGTCGAGCTCCTTCTGGAGGCGGTCGACCTGCCTCTGGAGGAAGGAGATGGCCCCCACGCAGCCGTAGACCGGGTCCCGCACGCGGGCCTCGGCCTCGAACGCGAGGGAGTTGACCGCGTCCTCGCGCTGGTGCGGCAGGAGCTCGTTCAGGAGCTTCGAGACGTTGCTTGCCCCGAAGATCTTGTGGACGTTGGCAAACTTGTGGAGCGAAGATCCTACAAGTCATAGCCGATTCGCACGAAAAACGAGACAAGTTCAAAAAAATCGAACCATTCTTCGAACATAGCTACAAACTCATGGCAATGAGGTGGAACGACCTTGAGGATGTAGTCGACCAAAACAAGCTATTTACACTTCCCAATTTTGCCCCCGCAAGAAAGTGCAACTTTAGTGGCCATATTTTCGCACCACAACCCGGTAATTAAATTCGACACGAGGCTACAAATTCTCGAGCCCTTGATAATAAATAGTAAAATATATAATTAATTTGTCGAATTTAAAATTAAATTTGCAGCTTTCGCGTGGCTAAAGTGTGAGGGTGAAGTGGACGATTGCGAAGGGTTTCTTCGCAATCACAAGATATTGACAAGAGGTGGCACGCAGTTTGGCTCGAGCGCGAAATACGTTAGAGCAAGCGTTCTTTCTCGTGATGACGAGTTCGATCAATTTATCGAGAGGCTGTCTAGTATTAATTAATAATTAGTATTGTGCTGATCTGTGTGTTATATAGATTGCTGGAATCTTCAATCAGCAGTTCTATGTTCTGTAATAAATGGTTTTATGTGTAATAATGCAATAATAATCAGATTGGCATGTATTTAGTTCTTTTTCACTTTCTTTTTGTTTTTGTTTTTAATAATGAAGAAATTAATTACAACCAATTATATAGGTAATATATATCAATTCTTCTGATATAAATCACAATAACTCGTTATTTTCGAACTCTGAGCTTAGGGTGTAAATGAGCTGAACTCACTCGACAAAAAGCTCTAGCGCAAACTCGAAAAATATAATTATCACGAGCTCATGAACATGAACTTGCTAACTAGTCGCACTTCAACTCAATTTTTTATTGTTTGAAAGTTCATGAGTCGGCTTGTGAACTTTTATTATATAATTTTTAAAATGATATATATTTAAAATATTATTAATAATACTTAAAATTAAAAAAAAAAAAAACTTTTTAAAAAAAATATTTTTGACAATTTCTCATGTTAATGAAAGTTGATGGGCTATACCCATAAGGCCTATATTCCCTATTTTTTCAAGACTCTCAAAGCAATATTATTGGGTTACGAACTGCAAATAAGCCCATTAATGTTATATTGGCCCAAGTCCAAGAAGATCGTTAAAAAAGAATACGAGTTAATTTATACTGGATGATCTTGAACAATTAATCTGTATATAATAGCACACACCAAATGTGTGTATGTGTTCAGTGGGTAATTATTCATATGAATTTACAGTTCAAAACGATCCGATTAGTTACACTTGGTGAATATCTCATAGACCGCAAAATTGAGAACAATGTAATTAATGCGTGGCATAATTAATTTAACATTTTTTTCTTTTAAATATCTAAAACGACAAATATTTTGACACGGAGGAGTATCAAAGTTGTTTATAAAAATCTCAACTAGCTATTGCTCTTTCGGTTATTTAAAATAAAAAACTAAAGAAAAAATCAAATAATTCAAATACATATGTAATCATGATCATCATCATTGGTAATCATGCTCTTTCAGCACAAAAGGGCTTTGTTAATGTATATCTCCATCACTAGATGTAGTCAACCAAGAATCTCATAAAAGAATATTGGTACAAATTTAAATTTCAATTTCATTTAGGGTCCATTTGGATGGAGGGATTTGGGGAGGGATTTGATTTGGGGAATGGATTTGAAATGACTCCAATTTTGGAGTCATTTGAAATCCATCACTATTGCTCCAAAATCAACTAAAAATGAGGGGTGGGGATTTGAAATCCATCTCCAAATCCCTCAATCCAAACAAGTCCGAGGGATTTGTTATTATGGATTTCAAATCCCTCCCCCAAATCCCTCCATCCAAATGCACCCTTAGGTTATTTAACCAAAAAAAAAAAAAAACTTAATATATAAATTAGTAACAACTAAATTTGAATCAATTAGTATCTCACTCGCGCGATGCACGGAAATCAAATTCAAGAATACGATACGACCGGCGGACCAACTTTTAAATTATAATATAAAAGTAATATAATTTAAAATATTAAAAAAGAAGAATCTCGGACCAACTTCACTCATCGATAATCGAAAATAAATAATTAACATAATACGTTCGAGACGTATTCTACACCAATGGAATCGAATCCCGACGAAATCTTGCACATCCAAATATTTATTGGAATAGTAGACCAAGTCATTACAATAAAATCAAGGTAATTGGCATTTTGCGCCCTTCAATTCTACATATTTGACACTTTGCACCCTTAATTTAAGTTTTACTTGACATAATGCCCCCTAAAACCTAAAAGTAGTAGAATAAAAAAGATTTGGGGGGACTGAAAGGATAAATTTGTGAATAAATTCACTCCCAACTTTATTAAATACGGAAAAATATTTATAGTCTTCCTTGTTCGTGGATGTAATTACATTAATTGCCCATTTTGCCCATTGAATTATGGTAAAATCATTTTTTTCCGAACACAAATGTTTGGAGAAAAGTGTCTTGGAGTGTAATGTGCCAAGAAAATCTTAATTTGAGGGTGATATCTGTCATATTTTTTTATTTAAGGGTGCAAAATGTCAAATGAGCAAAATTGAAGAGTGCAAAATGCCAGTTACCCGTAAAATCATCACACCTAAATTTGAATCAATCTTCTAATTATATCATTATCTACGTGTCTAAAAAAAACTAAATGCCATTCTCTTTTAAAATGGTTCCTTGATTATTCCAGCCAGAAGTGAGATACACTCATGCGGCGGAGTTGAATATATACTGATACACTTTTTCCGGCGAAAGCTGAATTCCTCCTATTTTAATTTTTAAACAAATCAATAATATATAATATTAAAAATTAAGATTACATAAGCTTTCATTTAAAGCATATTATTTTGGAAAAAATAATTTAATATTGCATCGACATCTACCTAGCTTCCAAGGATCCAGTCTTTTTAATCATAATTAAGTACTAACTTTTGTGCCCAATAATTTAATTTGAGGTGTATTTAATATAAAAAGATCAGAAAAAACGGATAGGAATATTATCATCTCTAATGACCAAATCTTTTTTTTTTTTACGTGTCAGACCCGTTAACATAAAAAGAAAAATTTAATATTTTTAACTTTCATGATATTTTGCTTGTATTTTAACAAGAGAATCTCAAAATTAAAATGCAATATTTTAAAAGACACCTACAAGTGATATAAAGTGAATAATCAAATTATATAATAAATAAAGTTCAAAAGACATAACGGCTTGCGATAGTCGACAAGTGTTATATATTACTTACGAAAAATGAGAATAAAAAAAAATGAAATGGTGAAAAATGGGCAAATAAGAATTGAAATGATGGAAATTGAAACTTTGATAAATGAAATCCTAAATGTAAATTATATATATAGATTAATTATTAAATATAATATATTTATATGGGTCGGTTCTTACTAACCCGACCCAAAATCATCCGATTTAGAAATTTAAATCCACTATCCGACCCAAAAGCATTCAACCTATCCAAACCCACACGAAATTGGTCGATTCTGGGTCTAAGACCCGACAAACCCGTACTCATTGCTATCCCTAAGGTCAACTCGATCATACTACAAATTTAGTATGTAATGTAAAAAAGAAAATGTGGGCCATCACAGGCTTATAATCAAATAAAAATGAAAATAAAGTTTTGTTGTTCTTATTATAAAAAAAAATCCATATTTTTTTATGTGATATAGAATAAATTTCGGGATAATTATAGTTTTGGTCCCCCAAGTTTGCACGTTTTTCATTTTTGGTCCCTCATTTACCGCCGTCAACAAAATACACATTAATGTTGTCACATTTTAACACATTTGGTCCCTCCGTCTGTTTGACCGTTAAGTAGTGACGGTCAATGGCTATATTTGGGGTTTTTCTTTGAAAAAATTGCAATACGACCCCTGTATTCTTTCAAAATATTCTAAGAACCTCTAAACTTTTATCCAACCATAATGTAACCTCAATTTCATCAATTAACCAATTTTAACCAATGACCTCGATTTTTCAAAATTGGGTAGTCCGACTTTAACTTTCTTTTTAACTCGGTTGACTCTTTTTTCGATTGATCTTTTTTTGCCGTTATTGACCGATGTTGAATGTCGGGGTAACAGCGTTGACATTTTTCTCTTGATTTTTATTTTATTTTTATTTAAATTGTTGAGTAATGGAAAAATGTAATTTAAAAAAAATTCAAAGCTGATAATCGGCAAGAAAAAAATATCATAGAAAAAGTCAAATAAAGAAAAAAGGAAAAAGTCAACGCATCTCAATAACGGAAAAATTTTAAGACAAAAAAAAAAGATAAAAATTAACGGCCGGTGTTAGCCCCAAAAACCGTTGTACTAGAGTGGTTATCTCATTCCAAATTACTCCGCACATGCCTAACTCATCGTCTTCATATTTTTTTGGGAAGAAATTTGGGATGCACTAGCGGTTCCACGAAGAAAAAATTGAGGGGAACAAATTATGGATTTTACATTTTTTTTAATTGAGGTTAGGCCCTAGAATTTTAGATAAAAACTTTATTAGAAGTTTTTAATTTTCATATTATGATTTTTTTTAGACCGTAATTTTAATGTTATTATACTAGATATTAATATAGTATTATTATTGTGTCTACGGTAGTTGTGTTGATCAGGAAAAATAAAGTCACAAGAAAAAAGTTCATAAAAAATCATGAAAAATAAAAAAAGTCAACATTGTTAACCTAGAATACAATGTCGGTGAACGGCGTCAAAATCATATTAAATAAAAAAGTCAATGCCGAAAAAAAAAAGTAAAAAAAAAAAAAAAAAAAAACAACAACAACGTCGGTTAACGGTCAGCGAAAATGCTTGTAAAAATCGGGGTCGTTTGTCAAAATTGATTAAATGATGAAATTGGGTTAAATTAGGGTTGAATAAATTTTAGGGGTTTTTAGAATATTTTAAAAGAATGCAGGGGTC